AAACGACAGACTCAACACCATTCTTAATAGTTTTAAAATAATTCAGTAATTTAAACTTTAAGCAGTAATTATAGGCTCATCCTTTGCATTCCCTTCTCACTAATCAGTTTCTGAAAGAAAAAAAGAATCCTGATCCTCACCTAAGACACACTTCCCACCTGCAGAGCCAAGGGAGGGAACCTTGCTTTGCCAGGGCAGGCGTTCCCTGGCCAGCTCCAAGGTTACACCACTTTAGGAAGCAATTCTGCCCAGTGGTTCCCGATCGTTCCCAGACACCATTCTTGCAACTTTCAACAGCAACTACTTAGGAATCGTGCCCGACCTCGTCGGAGCGAACAGCCTCCACCAACCTGGCAAGTCCAATCCCACACACACACACACACACAAAATCTACAAAGCAAATCCACCGAGTGGCAGGAGATGAGATGGCAGAACCAGAACACGCCCAGAAAGTTGGTAACAGAGAGGAGGGAGTCTGGGCACAGACACTCCGGTTCGCTAGCGGGCGCAGAGCACACACGCTCCCGGGGGCAGAGGGAGGGACCAGGCCGGCGGGGGCGCGGGGAGCGCGGAGAAAGGCCGCTGGCGCCGCGGGCACGGCCGGACGCCCTGACATTGGAGCCTGGCAGCGGCCGCGGCCGGCGCTCTCTCTCTCCCTCCCTCTCTCTCTCTCTCTCTCTCTCTCTCCCCGCCTTGACCCCGCGGGGGAAAGGGACCGGTCCGCCTGCCGCCGAGCGGGACGGGACAGACGCGCGGGAGCGTCCGCTCGGTCCCGGGCAAGCGGCGCGGCCGCGGGCGTCCTTACCCTTGCAGGCCGAGGGCGCGGCGCCGCTTGTGGAGCAGGCAGAGCAGCAGGAACGCGGCCCCCGCCAGCGAGGAGTTCCGCGCCGTCAGGTACTTGCTGAAGGCCGCCATGGCTCCGCGGGGACGAGCAGCAGCCGGGCCGGGGGACGCGGCGGTGATTGCCTGAGTGCCGGCAGCGCGGGGGAGACTGGGAGGGGAGGAGCGCGGAGGGAGGGCGGGGCCAGCCGCGCAGGACCGCCCCCTGGCACGCCGCCGCCGCCGCCGCCGCGCGGGAGCCCACCGCGGACTTCGGCACCGCGGGAGCGCGCGCAGGCGCGGCGGGGGCCGGAACCGGCCCGGGCGCTCTCTGCGCACGCGCGGACCCCCGCGGAGCCGCCGGGAACTCGGGGCGTGGAGAAACCCCGGGGCTGCCCGCGGTGCCTCCGGACTCCTCCGCTCCGTGTTCCAGCTCCACCCCTCCTCCCGCCTCCGCGCGCGCGCGCGCGCACACACACACGCCCAGGCTTTCACAAGAACTGGAAAAGCGAGCCGGGCCTGCGCCGGGGATTTCGTGGGATCTGCCACTCCACCCCCCGGCGAGGGGCCGTCGCCACCCTCTTAAAGGAGCCCTGGGAGAAGGGATTGGCCCCATCACAGAGTACATAAAACGGAGGGCTCGGTCATCATGTACCCAAAACAACTGTCCGGAACTCCGAAATGTAAGGAGATGGGGAAAGAATGACTACAAATCCAAAACCTATTTCCAAGCCTGTGTTTTCCAAACCGTGGAGTGTAATTCCTAGGGGACCGTGAAATCAGTTTGGCAGATCGAGACCACTACTTCGTGTTTTAATGAAATGGGAAGGATCGAACAGGATATAAAAATCTCAGAGTGCACTATGGGTAAAGGAGTTGTTTGACATTTTTATTCCAGTCTTTTGTATCTGTGTATCCCAAGTAGGAATATAAAGATGCATTTCTTTACGTGGATGGGTCTGATCAAACAAAAAGTTTGAGAAACACTGTTCTTTGCAAAGAGGCATTCAGAAATAACAACAGTTGTGCATTGTGCTAAACTGGCCTTACTCCCAGGACCTGAAGAGCATTCCAGATTACAGCATTCTTCTGCCTTGGCTCTAAAGATGCAGAGATCGTGATTCCCAGCGTTTAGACTGGCATGTGTACAGCAACGTGATGAATTCCTCTCTTCAGTTGAGAAAACTGGAGGAAAGCAAGCGTGTCATTCAGAAAATGAGTACATAAAACCTTGCACATAATATGCACGCATATTAAAGCAGCCTGTGTGTTGAAGTAGCCCTCATTAAAATAGCCCACAAAACTCTGGTTTCAGTACAAGTGAGTAGTTGCCTAATACAGATGACAAGAATCACAAGGATATATCTAAGTGTATATCTGTGTGTATAGGGGTGTTCAAAGGCCAAATTTCAATGAACTAGAGCTTCTACTAAATTCTTCATTTGCCATGAATATATTTTATTACCTCACTTAACAGTTGTGATTAGGTAAACCTGGCACAGTGAATACAGGGGTGAACGGATTATAATCCCTATTTTGCAGAGGTAGTGAAGATAAAAAACATGGGGGAAATTATCAGTATGGTAAGTGCCACATTAAAGGTATCAGCAAGGCACAAAAGAGTAAATGCTTAGTTTTTCTAAATCTAGAGCCTTTGATTAAGGCTTGACACAGAAGATGATTTTGTAGCTGAATCTTAAAGACCAGAGAAGTGTTAGGTTTGGCCAAGCAATTGAATTGATATCCCTCCCCCGGGAATTGGCTTTTCAGGTCACTTCACTATGGATATTCCCTTTGCTGAGACCACATTCACTTGTGGTGACCACATTCCATTATCTCCCCTTCGGTATGCATAAAGAAGTCTCCACCCAGAAGTAAAGCCCGCCAAAAGTCCTTTAAAAGCCACTGAGTCCTTGTCACTGGGTGCTGGAGCCATCCAGGATCAGCCACCTAGTGTGCAAAGGATTGAAGAAATTTGTGATCCCTCACCTTTCTGACCTCATGCATTCCTCCTTCGGTGACTTAACAAGATGAAGTTGCTCAGAGGGACAAAAGGGAAAATTACTAGTTGAGTAATAAATTGTTTAGTATTGTTAACGTTTTAGGAACCTTGGAGAAAGTGACTGAGTGAATCATTTTAGAGTTTGTAGCAGTGAAGGAATGACATGCAAGGTTAGTCCAAAATGTCTGGCCTGGCCTATGTGGCTCAGCAGTTGAGCATCAACCCATGAAACAGGTCACCGTTCGAATGCTGGTCAGGGCACATGCATTGATGGTTCGATCCCCGTGTACAGGAAACAGCAGATCAATGATTCTCTTTCATCTTTGATGTTTCTATCACTCTCTCCCACTCTCTCTTTCTCTTTCTGAAATCAATAAGAACATTTTTTAATGTAGTCTGTATAGATAATAGACTATATTTCAGAGGAACGATACATTTAGGCAGGAGACTGTAGTTCAGAGGAAAGATAAGGATTCACTGGGCAAGATATTCCAAAAGGTACCCTTGATCAAGAAGCATGGGTGATTCTAAAAAAAATGAAGTTAGGAAATATGAGCTCACATGATTTTAGTTGTTCATAAAGCCCATCAGATAAAGATTTCCAGAGCCAAGCCTGTAACCCAATAAAGTTAGGTATATTAACTTGCAGCAAACGACACCACACAGCAGACATGTGGTGTCTACAAAAAAGGAAGAAATGGGGTTCACTATAGTATTAGGGGAAGGGGAGAGTTTAAGTAGGATCTGAGTGAAACTGTACTTAAGAGACTCAGATCTGAATGTAAATGAGTTAATATAAGACCTCAGCTGACAAGCATAGACTCGGGGTTCTTTTCCTTGGAAACATAAATTTAAGGTTAATGTAGAATATTGTGTCCTAGAGTCCTTATCTGAACCTATGCACTCACTCTAAACTGAGGCTGCTTCTCTAAGTGAAAGTGATTTGGGTAGTTTAACATCTCCCAGGCAAGAAAGGAATGCTCTGGTCACCCTAATATGAGTTCCAAACAACCAAGTTCTGATAACCTACATTTTTAGAGAACAAGTTTTCTCAGCATTGTACTTTGATAGTTACCAAAGCAACTTTTCTGGCCTTACCTGGTTTGGCTCAGTTGATAGAGCGTCGGCCTGTAGATTGAAGGGTCCCAGGTTCTCTGGTCAAGGGCATGTACCTTGGTTGTGGGCACATCCCCAGTAGGGGGTGTGCAGGAGGCAGCTGATCGATGTTTCTCTCTCATCGATGTTACAAACTTTCTATCCCTCTCCCTTCCTCTCTGTAAAAAAATCAGTAAAATACATTTTTTAAAAGCAATTTTTTCTGGCTCACAGTTTATAATACTGAATAATTAAGAAAAATATTATTTTATCAGTAGATCTCCAGGAGCTCTGACTTTTATAGAGTTTGACCTATTAAGAATAAGGAGGAGAAGGTCATATGGAGTTAGGAACTCTAGAAAACCTCGTAAGAGATGTTGTGTTAGCCAGCCTCCAACACTGTCCATGTGTAATCTCCCTCACATCAGAACTGGTTTGTGTGACCAAAAGAGTAATATGTGTCTTCTGAGACAAGGTCATAAAAGGCCTTGTGGCTTCCACGTTGGTCTTTTTGCTTCCTTACTCTTGGGGAAGCCAGCTGCCACAGAGAACACTCCAGCAGCCTGGAGGAGAATTGAGGACAGCACCTGCTCGCCAGCCTTGGAACCAGGTCTTCCATCCCCAGTCAAGCCTCAGACTGCTGCCTCAGGAGCAGCCGTGAGCCAGCTGGAGCTGGAGCAGCCAAGATGCTCCTAAATTCCTGACTCACAGAAACTGTGGGAGATAATAAATATTTATCATTATTTTAAGCCAAGCATGTCAAACTCAAGGACTAACAAGGGCCAAATAAACAAGGTTTCAGTTTATATGGGCCACACAAAAAAAACACAAAGGCTTCAATTTTCATAGAAATGTAGGTTTATTTAGATAGAGACATGCTGAATACAAAGAGCTGAAATCAATGAGTAATTGTTAATATAAAATGATAGAACATTTTAATAAAAATTAATATTTTTTTGAACATTAACTTACCAGACACTGAGTAACTACACAAATAAACCTTTTTTTCTTGTTCTCCAAAAGTGAAATATTTCTTGTTTCACACACCAAACAAGTCAGTCCAAGACTAATGACTTGGCAATCAGCTGCTAAAATATTTGCTGCTAGTATTAGTGGAGAGAAATGGTGTGTCTGTGCATAAGGTGGGTAAGGGAAATGCAACGATTACAGTTATCAGTCATTAGCAAACGTGGTTCGTTATTAATGTGTAACAGGATATTGTAAAAATTAAGTTATAAAATTTTTATTAAAACGTTTCTTACATATTGGCTGGGCCTTAAAATATTTGTGGACTGTGAGTTTGACATGCTTGTTTTAAGCCATTACATCTTGGGGTAATTTTTATGCAGCTGATGTGATCTGGGCCAAAACCTTGAAAAATAGAGGAAAGACGTTCTTTGCTCTCATTATATCTAAAATCCCTTTCTTCTGGAGAATTCTTCAATTCTCCTGTGATATGGATGGAAGTTCAAGGAAGGGTGTGAAATAGGACAAACAGTTGAAATGTTTAATGGAGGTCAATATTAATGGAGTTAATTATTTAATGTTTAATTCAAGTTCAGGGTTGAGTAGTAACCTCAGCTTCTATTTAAGGAAGACCATGTTGGTGGCAGTGTGTAGAATGGATGGAAGGAGAAAACATTAAGCACAGAGAACAGTTTGAACACTTTTGATCATCTGAGTCAGGGCAAAACAACAAACAAGAAGAAAGGACTTTGGATTCAAATGGATGGGGTGGGTGAGATTGTTATTTATTTGGAAGAAAAATTTAAAATGGAGTCTGAGATTTCCTGGTGGGACATCTGAGAGGATGATAATATTTACCTGAGAACAGGAGCAGAGAAGTTGTGTGTGCTTATTAAGGAAAGTAATAATATGCAAATTAATAAATTCCTCACTAGTTCCTCATCACCATACCAACTCCAGGATGTTTAGCATCTTACATAAAGTCATGATATAAGCTCTGCCTACCTCCTTGAATTCCTGTCTTGGCACTCCTCCCCTCCAATAGATGTTTTCTACCTCTGCCCCAGGAGACAAAAGCACACTGCTGTTGCCCTCTGTTGTCTTCCCTTGACTATGCTATTCCTTCAACCTATAATTCCAATCTCTCCCTTCCCTACCATCCTCACTCCCAACTCAGCTCATCCTTTAATAGGAGGCACTGATGGTCTCCTACTCCAAACTGTGTTTTCTGACTGTTTCTACCTACCCCCCACCTCCTGGCAAGTTAATCACTTCCCCCTTTCTACTACTTCTGTTTCATATACAATATAATTCTAGGAATGTGTAATAGCATGTCTGGAGAGGCATGTCATTGCTCTGATGAAGTAAACATATAAGTCACCAGGAACATACCAGAAGCTCCTCTTACTGATACAAATGGAAGAAGAGTTAGGTACCCAGTGCACCAGGGAGAGTATGTAATAAGATATCCTGACAAAACAATTCCTATTAGCCCAAACCTATACAGGGAAAGTTTGTCCGGGAGAGCCTCTGAGAGGAAAGAGATATCGATCTCAGCCTCTTTCTTGTCCAGGTTCACCATGATTAGAACCGCTCTGATGACTGAGATAGTCCTTGTCTCACTAGCACAGGGTCCTAAAGAGAAACTCTTCAGAAGGAATAGAAATCTGAGCTAATCAATAGTTCAACGGCAGAGCCTCATGGCCACAGGTAGGGCTAAGTTATGAAATCCACCCCAATTCGGTCACCTAGGAACTACCCATGTTTTGGGGGGACAGTGTCCCAGCGTAGAGAAGCTTTGGGAGCCCGTGCTTCCACCATTCTACAACCTGTGCTCCTGGTGCACTGGGGCAGTGCAGCAAGGGTGCTTGGGACTGACAGAGCCAACTCTCAATGGCAACACCAGCCAGCAGCCAAAGATTTTTATTAGCTGAAACTCCAGTCACCAAACTACTCAGAAATCTCAATTCCCTCTCTTTTTTTTTTAATATATATTTTATTGATTTTGTACAGAGAGGAAGGGAGAGAGATAGAGTTCGAAACATCGATGGGAGAGAGTCATCGATCAGCTGCCTCTTGCACACCCCCCACTGGGGATGTGCCCACAACCAAGGTACATGCCCTTGACCTGAATCGAACCCGGGACCCTTCAGTCCCCAAGCCGACGTTCTATCCACAGAGCCAAACCGGTTTCGGCTCAATTCCCTCTCTTATCTGCAAACAAGTCTAATAACCTCTTTGGGCTGATTAGCTCCTATTAGTTTTGGTGAACTAGGTGAAAGAGGCAACACCAAGAGCAAAATTCTGGATTTCCTAATAAGGGAATTAATTGGGCAATTTGTTGGGAAAAATAAGTCATATGGAATGTTATGTGACTTTTACTCCAGACTAATGAAGCAGATCATACTGATTAAAAATGTATGTGCACACTTGTGTCTTTACAGTAGCTATATCCTCAGGCTCTGTACCGTGCTAGCACATAGCAGGTACTCAGTGGAGGAAGAGAGAGGGAGAAGGGAAGAAAGAGAAACATCAATGTGAGAGAACAACACCGATTGGCTGTCTCCTGCATGCCCTATACTGGGGATCCAGCCTACAACCTGGGCCTGTGTCCCTAACCTGGAATCGAACCAACAACCATTCTGTGCATGGGACAACACCCAACCAACTGAGAGCTCCCTGACAGGGCTGTCTGATAATTCTTGCTTGTGCACTCATGATCTTTGGTTGTGTGGAACAATTTTTAAAGCCCAAAACTAGCACTGATTAAAAAGAAAATTGCTACCAACATTTAGCTATTCAACTGACTTTGTTTATTTACTCTTTGGTATCTAGTCTCACATTACTTTGTTTCTTTTCTGTGAAACAGATACCAGAAGATGATTATTTAAGCATTAATGGAGAGCTATGAGAAAGGAAGCTATAAAGAGACAAACAAAAGAGGAAGATTTCCGGGCTGCAATGGACTTTGACATCCAGACCAATGGTCTTATTTACAGATGAAGACAGGTCATAGGGAGAGGTGAGTTCAGGAGTTGAAGCGACTTGGCCAATGTTTTGTTACTAATTAATGGTAGAATCAGTATTACCTCTCCTATTCAATCACCTGTTTCTATGCTTTCCCACTTCTTTCCTCTATAATATAGTTACATTAAGATAGACCCATTCAGAATAGTAATGTAATCAGTGTTGGTACCCACTATATTTAGATATTTCTACTTAAAGTTATTAAATTCAGGCTTTAATAATCAAAATAGGGTTATTTAAAATTAAATTTTAAGTGACACCATAGATAAATAATGAGTTCCATTAAACAATTTTATTTAAGATTATTTCCTGCAGCATTATTTGGAATTACAAAATAATGGAAATTAATCAAACATAGGACATAATTTGTAAAATCTTTGGTAAAGGTGCAGAATGAATTCTATGCAGCTATAAAAAATAATAGAGATCTCTGTGAACTGAAATGAAGTAATTTCAGAAGAAATCATTAAGTTACAAAAAAGCAGACAACTTTATATAGAATGCTATCTTTTAAATAAAAAAGAAGGGAAAACAACACACACACATTTTCTAATCATTGTAAAAGAAACACTAAAGGAGAAAACAGATAAGCATGAATCGGTGGTATCTGGGGGTGGCAGGAAACCGGATGGAAGGAATGTGAAGGGAGTATCACTTCTCTGAGAGTAGGTGTTTTTTTTTGTTTGTTTGTTTTTTGGGGTTTTTTTTTTGCATAATTCTTACTCTTGAAGTATATTTATGTTTTACATATGAAATTAAATTATACTACTAAGAACGAGAGGGGAATTAAAAACTGAAAGGAAAACAAAACAAATGAACCTAATTGTATTTCAGATGAAACCATAACCCAAACTGGAGTGGGGGGGCAACAATAAGAAAAAGAGCTAAGGAAGGAAGGAAAGGTGGAAGGAAGCCAAGTAAATGATGAACAAATATTTGAATATTCAGTCATGGCAAGATGAAGGATAAGAACAAATTACAAATGAATCCTGAGCTCATGTTAGAAATGTCTTTATTGTAGTATTATGGACAGAGTGATTCTGAAGCTATTTTAGAATATATTATAGGATTGAGCAAATGTATTGATGTTATTGGTAACTGCAGATCCCAAGAAGGTAGAAGAGACATAGAAATATGTAATGGAAGAAGACAAAAAAGGGATCTGAGGGGATGGATTAGAACTGGGGTTCTCAGGTGTGAATTTATGAAATCTAAAACATGTAGATAGTGTGTATATGCATATATAAGTATATAAGTTCATGTATGTAAGTACACTAGAGGTCTGGTGCATGAAAATTCATGCACTCGAGTAGGGGGGTGTCCCTCAGGCCAGCCTGCCCCCTCTCACAGTCAGGGAGCTCTCAGGGGCAGGAAGCAACCTGGCAATCAGGGAAGGAGATGTCCCATCACACCTCTGCTGCTGCCACTGCTGGCAGCGCAAGCCTAGGCCGGCCCTGGTTACTTGAGCCTTGGGTAACCCTGGTGGCTCTGGACGGCTGGGCAGCCACCATCTGAGGCTTGCCTGCGCCTTGGGTGTCAGCTGGGAAGCTGCCATCTGAGGCTTACCTGTGCCTCGGGCCAACCCTGGACAGCTGAGGGGCTGAGGGGACTGGGCACCACCATCTTGTGGCTGTGGGTGCTGCCATCTTTGAGGGCAGGGCAGTCAATTAGCATATTCCCTCCTTATTAGATAGGATTTGTTTATGTATTTGCAGGTATTGGTGAGGAATAAACTTTCCTCTACCTTCCAGGTTCTTTTGCCTGGTCTAATTAAATCTGCATCTGACAGATTAACAAGAAAAAATTACCAAATTTAAATACACATTTATGTATGTATGTACGTATGTACGTATGTATGTATGTATGTATAAGAAAGTCAAAAATCCTATATATACATGAGAGGTTCAGAGATAGAAAGAAAAATGAGTTTGTATGACATTCTGAACTAAGGATGAAGTAAGGCGCTTTGGGCTTTAGTCGGGAGGAAGGTCATTTCCAGGGCAATAAGAAGAGAGTTGTTCCGTAATTAGTGGTTTTCCCTGCCATAGAGATATGTTGGTAAGTTTATCTCTGATAATCTCTTATGGGCAATGCCCCGAATTTAAATTCTTCTTAGTAGTTGAGGGAGGGGGTGAACTGAGCTTCTCTTGAGCCCATAGTAGCCTTTAGCTCAATCCACATACCACAGAGCCACATCTTGGGGTCATTCATTCTGAACCCCTACACAGGTGTATAATTGTATATCTGTATAATATATTTCTTAATTTTGTTCACTAAAGGGGCAAGAAGCAAAAATACTTTGTTACCTAGATCTTGATCTTTTAAAAATATTTTATTGATTTTTTTACAGAGAGGAAGAGAAAGAGATAGAGTTAGAAACATCTATGAGAGAGAATCATTGATCAGCTGCCTCTTGCACACCTCCTACTGGGTACCAAGGTACATGCTCTTGACTGTAATCCCACCTGGGACCTTTCAGTCCGTAGGCCGACGCTCTATTCACTGAGCCAAACCAGTCAGGGCTAGATCTTGATCTTTAACATCATTCTTTACTGACAAACTAGAGCTCCTCAAAAAACATCCAGTTTCATGGATGGAGCAGGTTAAGTATAAGATGAGCCTAGAACATCTAGTTAATCCAGAAAATAAGGAGATGATTGAGAAATTATGAGCATGTGTCACATGAACACAAGAGCCATTTAGAGGATAATCCTTTTGCCTAAACATGGAATAATTTAGGCACCAAAATAAGTACAGTAATTGAAGAACTAGAAATTAATAACTTAATATCTATAATAAATAAATAATGCAGAGAGAGAGCTCTTGATACAGTGGAATGCTAAGGGCCAAATGGTAAATGCGTAGGAATACACAAGTGGAAAATTATCATTTTGCAACATAGTAAGGATTAAGTAGGACAAGAATTACCAATGGATGTTAAATCTAGGAGGAAATTTTGGTAAGAAACAGGATATTTTCATAATCCTAAATTATCCCCCCATAGACCAACCATTAGTTACAACAGAGAGAAAATAGTAATTTTACAGTGAACAAAATGAAAAATGTCTTGACTAGGCAGTCCAAATTAAAGTCAATATGGCATAGATAGATATCTCATTTCTGTAAATGAGCTCCTCTATAAAGGATATATCTCTTATGCAGTATTCTGGTCTAGAAGGCATAATGTGAATCTAATCATGAGCCTATATAAGGCACATTTAAAAAGGGCAGGTACTGTATTTGTCAATCTAATCAGAACCTATATAAGGAATATTTAAAAAGGGTGGGTACTGTATTTGTCAAAATATCAATGTCGTAAAGGCAAAGAAAGGCTTTAGAAATACTCTAGATTAAAGGAATCTAAAGAGAGGTGACAATTAAAAGCAATAGCTAATCCTAAACTGGATTTTGTATTGAGGGAGGAGAGAGTAAGAGACTTTGTTAGGACATTATTGGATTAATAACTGACAAAATCGGAATATGATTGGTAGAGTATTATATTGATGTTATATTACTGAAATTGATAAATATACATGGTTATATTAAACCATATCCATAGTCTAAGAAATACACATTGAACTTTTAGAAGTAAAGGGCCATAATTTGGGAGTAAAAGGATTTAAAATGGTTCAGGGGAAAACACATATACATATACATATACATATACATATACATATACATATACATATACATATATACATGTACATATATCAGTACATATACATATTAATATACATATACAAAAAGAGAAAGCACACACACACAAATGATAAAGCAAAGGTTAAATATTTATAATAGATAAATCTGGATAAGGAATATGAGTGTTCTGAGCTATTTTAATTTTTGTAACTTTTTGTAAATTTGAAATTCATTCAAAAGAATAGGTTTTTTAAGAAGAAAAAATTAAATATTAATTCATGAAACTCCATAGCAACCTTATTCATAACAGACTAAAACTGGATATCCCAGTAACCATCAATAAGAGAGTGAGTAAACAGCTTGTGTTATATAACTACAATAAATACTATTCAACAATAAAAGAAGAAATATTGATAAGTACAGCAATATGGACGAATATCAGAAACAGTGAAAGATATGTATATGCATACTCACAAAAACATGCACACACACAAAAACATCCTTGATTAAATGAAGTACAAGAACAGGCAAAATAAATTTATGATAGAAGTCAGAAAGTGACTGCATTTTAAAGTGGAGTAAAATTGGCTGGAAGATAGCATGAGGGAACTTTTGGGAGTGATGAAATGTTCTATATTTTGCTTGTGTGATGGTTTCATGGGGCTTACTAATGTTAAAATATTCTTAAAATAAATCTACAATTGTGAAATGTATAATTAATTTCAAAACATAAGCCAGTTTGTAACACGGAAAAATGAATATATTGCTACACTTCCTGGAAGGACTTCTAAATTCTGCTACTTGGGGTTTTGTTTCATACTTGTAAGGAGTGGCACATCTTCATAGAATTGGGGCCTTTTTGGGCAACATTGTGTCCTGGGCATGTGGGCCCATCTGCCTATGCTGGGCACCCACTAGGGCTGCAACTACACACGTTAGCAAGTTCCCCACTTCAGGCATTTATCTTTAACGGCTATGGAGTTCGTTTTATTCAAGTGATAAAAGGATTTGTTAGAAAACGAAACTCCCCCATAGAAATAATGTGTTTAAATATCTGTGCCATATTTCAAGTACTCACAGCGAGAGTAGTGATTTATTGTAGTTCTAGAGCTGCAGCAGCTGGTCCAGATCCCGGCGGAGCTTCCGCCTGGCGGCGGGCGGGTGATGTCCTGCGCTGGCCCTGCGGCAGCACTGTCTTCCATCAGGCTGCCACTGTGGGTTCTTTCTCACCTTTCTGGCTTCAGAGTGCCACACTGGTCCAGTCGTGGGGTCGTTTCAAAACTAGTATACAAATTCTAGAGTTTCTTTTTCTTTTCTGTTCCTCAAACTTCAGTTTCAAGGGCACAGATTTTACCA